CCCCCCCCCAGCTCTCACCTCCAAGCGCAGCTTCTGGTTCTCCTCCTCCAGGCCCCTGAGTTTCTGCTGCAGGGCGTCGTACTGCACGTGCTGCTGCAGGGACAGCGAGGACTCGTTCCGCCGAAGCCTGGGGGGCAGAGGGACCGTGAGCAGCTGCAGCGCGGGCACCCAGCACCCTCTGCCACCGGGTGGGGAGCAGCCGCTCAGACCAGCACCCCCCGCCCCTGGCTCCACCACCGGGCAGGGAGCAGCCGCCCAGCCCAGCCCCGCCCACAGCATCGCCACCGGGCAGGGAGCAGCCCGTAGGCCCCCATAACCACCACCCCCCGGGAGGGCGCAGCAGCCTGGAGAGGGGCCCATAAAGCCCCATCCACCAGGCGGGAGGAAAAGGGACCCAAGCCCCTTCCTGCACCCACCTCCCTGCTGCCACCTGCTGGGAGAAGGGGCAGAGCCGCTCCAGTCCAAGGAGCTTCCCCTCCAAGTGCAGGTCCCAGCGGAGGGCAGCTCCAGGACTTTCCCGGACTCAGTGACCGAACGCTAGATGGGGGCCCAGCTCCGGGCCGGGCAGGATGCAGCTCTGGAGCGAGCGAGGCACGAGCCGTCCTGCAATGAGCTAGCCAAGGGCAGAGTCTCCCCCCGGCCCCCAGCGATGGGAGCAGAGCCCCCCTGGGTCACTCACGGCGTGGCAGTGGCTGTGGCCGGCTCGCTGTCCTCCACGGTGTTGGTGTAGAGATGGAGCAGATCATCCCGCATGGAAACCTCGTGCCGCAGCTGGGCAATCTGGGGGGAGACGAGAGGGCTGGGACGGGCTCGCAGGGCAGCATGGGGGGAGCTGGCTCACCAGCCGGTACGTAGAGCCGGGGGGCTCAGCGGGTGCAGGTGCCAGGGCCCTGCTCCCCCCCCCACCTCCCGAGCCCGTGGGGGGCCTTTACCTCCTCCTTGGCCAGTTCCAGCTGCTCCTCCAGGAGCTCGTTACGCTCCGTCAGGCTCCGGTTCTGCTTCAGCAGGGACTGCCCGATCCGGGCCGCGAGCTCCAGGTCCCGCTCCTTCTGCAGGGGCGGGGGGGACGGGACGAGACAACAGGCTGCTGTTAACTGGGGCAGGCCAGCAGGTACCCCATCCCACACCCAGACTGGCCCCTCTCCACCTTACCCCCACCCCACCCCCTTACACACTTCCTCCCTCCCCATCCAGGTCTGACCCCTCCCCGCCCACTGACCGGTCTCCAGCCCACCCTCCCAGAACTGCTGCCCCATGCCCAGGACCCTCTTATCCCAAGCCAGGAGCCTCTCATGGCACCATGTGGGTTTGCCACCACCTCTGGGGAGGAGCAGAGATTCAGGCAAGGAGGGGGAAGCAGCTCCGCCTACCTCCTCCAGCAGGTTGGTCACCGCGTCAAGATCATGGTAGGTCTTTGTGACCCTGCCGACCCGCTCGGAACAGAGGACTGTGAAACAGCAAGAAAGAAAGAGGGTTGGTTCCCCATCACATCACCAGCCCCCGTAGCTCCCCTGGAACGGGTCGCTTCACCTCCCACTGAAATACAGCCACCTCTGGGGTGAAGCCATCAGCTGCCCAGCCACTGCAAACTACAGCTTTAGGACAGGGTGTGCAAGAGCAGGAGTGCCCAGGGAGGCAGGAAGTCGATCCCTGGGGTGCATTCTGGAGCAAGGAAAGGGAAGCCAGTGCTCCCCCACAGCACGCTAGAAGCAGGAGGTGTTCAGTGGAACTGAGAGGGAGGAAGGGTGGTGCAGTGGTTAGAGCACTGACTGGGGACCCAGGTTCGAGTCCCTGCTCTGCCACAGAGCCCTGTGTGCTTGGTCCAGACACTTAACCTCTCTATGCCTCAGGTCCCCATCTGTACAATGGGGATAACAGGGCAGGGGCTGCGAGGATAAATGCAACGAAGATTGTGCTGTGCTCAGACACCCTGGGGACGGGGGCCAGACAAGTGCCTTAGAGCACATTTGTAACTGTAGAGAGGGAGCACGTAATTTGTGCAATACACAGTTTGCCTGTGGAACTCACTGCTACAAGGCGGCATCGAGGCCAAGAGCTCGGCAGGGAACAGACATTAGACGTGGCTACTGGGAACCTCCGCGGCAGGTTTAGACATAGATCCTTGTACAAGGATCAAACCCCTCACACCCTGAGGCCGCTGACTGGGGGGATGGTAAGGAGACGGGTCCCCGACGGGCAGGAGCCACCTGCCAAGGCCTCAGCAAAGCCCAAAGTTAAACAGAACCTCCCGGCCCCCTTTAACATTCTCCCCCTACACACACTTCACTGGAAGCTTGGTTGGTTACACACACACAAAACCTGCGCTCAGCCCCTTTCCCACCAGCCACGCTGTCCCCCAGCCCCTGTGCTGGGGTGTCAGGTCCCTCTGCGGGACTTCAGTCAGACCAAGCTCCGTGGGGCCGGAGGGAATGGAAAAATCCAGGCCACGGAGACGGGATTGGAAGCGACATCCCAGCACAGGGCCAGGCCGGAAACTGCTCAGCTCTATGAGCCTCTATTTATACCACTGCCAGGCTCCCCAGGCCACGCCACTTCCAATCCGTCTCCCGCCTGCCCCCTCCCGCAGGAGATCCGGCGCCCTCGTTTCTCCCCGGAGCTGGGGCAGGGGCAGCCAGGAGACTTCCCCTGGGTTCCGACCCGGCTCAGCTCACTAGGGCAATGAGCTTTGGCAGGTCCCAGGCCAGCTCCGTGGCCAGTCTCCGCTCAGGAGAAATGGGACGGGTGCAATGGACACAGACGGCCAGTTCCCAGCCCACAGCCCAGCTCCCCCACCCCAGAGGGCCCCTGCAGCTAGAGAGGGGTGGGCTCTCACCCGGCCTGCTCGGCCAGGGCCAGCCGGGAACTCCACTCCCTGGGGGATGGGTCAGGATTGTCCCTACTCTGTGCATGGAGAAACTGAGGCACTGAGCAGGGGATTGGACTTGCCCAAGGGAACAGAATCAGCAGCCAGGAGTTGAACCCAGGAGTCCTGGTTCCCAGTCCCCAGCTCTCCCCACCCTCCCTACCCAGAGACCCACCTCTCCCTATCCGGCAGCACCACAGAACAGCCCACTCTCCCAGCCAGGCAGACCGATCCCTGGCATAACCCCCCATTAGACCCCCCCCCTCGGCTACACCCTGCTGGGTCTCAGCACGAGCCAGCCCGGCCGATCGGCCCCTTCCTGGCCCGTGCTCGCTGCCATCCCTGGCACCTGCTGCCCTGAGCCCCCAGCCCCGCTCCTGCATCGACCCCCCAAGCTGCTGCAGAGCAGAGAGGTGCCAGTCGAGCGCCAGCCCTGCAAGCTGCCCCGGGCCCAGGCCGACATGGGCAGGTTGCCTAAGCAACAGCCAGGTGCCCGCCATGCTGACATTACGTGGAGCCAACCTGTCCTCAGGCCCTTCTAAGCAGCAGCAGCAGCGAGGCTGGACACAGCCGGGCGCAGGGGAGAGA